GGCATGGCTAACTCACAAATCGAACCCTAAAGTAACCTCTGGGCTGATCTAAGTCAGGGAAGCATGGCTAACTCACTGATTGAATTGTAGTTTTTTTTTTGGTGAATAACTTTGCGAACTAAAATATTTTCCAGGAACATATTGCATAAGACATGACTTAGTTCGTCTTAGGACGTTTTTGTTACTAACCTGTTGATAAAGTTGCCAAGATTGTTCAGAAGTTCAGAATTGTTTTTCAGGACAAAGTCTGACCAACTGAAGGCACTGTCCTGAAAACAAAAAGAAAGAAAGAAAGACGAGGATTAAAAAGGCACAGTCCTTTCGAACATCTCTATATCACACACACCTCTATAGAGCGCAAGCAATATAACCATGAAACTTTAGAAATACTAAATAGCACAATTTCTTGCAAATTCCATTGTTTTTGATTGTTTAAATAGCACTATTTTGTACTATTTAGTAATTAGTGTTTCATGGATTAATTGTTTGCACTCTATTATGGACACCTCTATATTACGGACACCTCTATATTACGGACACCTATATTACGGACATCTCTATATTACGGACACCTCTATATACTGGACACCTCTATATACTGGACACTTCTATATCACGGACACCTCTATATTACGGACATCTCCACATCACGGACACCTCCATATCACGTACACCTCTATATTACGGACACCTCCATATCACGGACATCTCCATATCACGGACACCTCTATATTATGGACACCTCTATATTACGGACACCTCTATATAACGGACATCTCTATATTACGGACACGTGGTCTGAAATGAGAAAACATTACGCCAGAGGTAAAAATGTCTATTGCGGGTGTGGAAATGCAAAAGTTCCAATGTTAAATTTTTTACCTGCCCTTCAGGTCTGATGTACAGCAGGTAGAAGCGCCAGATGTCTGCTGGGATACCAGAGTCTTCTGCATCGTCCCCGAACACACCAACACCTCGGCTTTTAGAAAACTTGTCATCCTCATAATTCAGATATTCTAAACGGAATACATGGAACAAGACGCTAGATTTAAGCAAATTTAGATAAATCGTTGGATATGAAGGGTGGAAAGATGGATGGGATGGGATGGGATGGATAGATGGATGGACGGATGGATAGGATAAGATGAGGCTGCAATAAAAGAGGATGGTCTGATGTCATGAATGGACGAATGAAAGCTGCCTTCAATACCTGTAGCATTAATGCTGTCCAGTAAAGTATAATTGTCATCAGCACCAAGCAAAGTACAGGGAAAGACCACAGTATGGAAAGGTACATTATCCTTGGCCATGAACTGGTATGAAGCCACCTGAAGAACGAAATCATGCAGAAATATAGCAACAAGTTAGCAGGTAAGTCAGAGCAGTAGAATGTTCTAAATATTCGGCGATTTTACAAGAGAATAGCCTCTTTTTAGCCACTCTTGGGAGTGTAAATATCTTAACATGTTCATCATAAAAGAGCAATTATTCTCAAGGGAATGTTATGTGATTTGAAATGGTAAATTTGCATACGAAGCTAAAAACGTCTTTTATTATGGATTGTCTAGCACTTACATGTTGAGGATTTTTCCACCATTTCTCCCATTGTTCAGTGTAGTTGGCTGTGATGGACAAGTATCTGCGGATCAAGAAGGAAGACCTTTAGAAAACGAACCATAATATGCCCTTGAGAGACAGGTTAATGATTCAATGTGGAAAAAAGGAGATGGCTGGAGATAATAAGGAAAGAGGAGAGGAGAGGAGAGGAGAGGAGATCTACTCACCCAATAGGTGCATCAAACCAGACATAAAACACCTTATCAGTGTACCCCTCAAGGGGAACAGGTGTGCCCCATTTAAGATCTCTGGTGATACAACGTGGTTTGAGACCCTCTTGGATCCAGCTTCGAGTGATTTGACGAGCGTTTGATGACCAGCAACCTGAGTTAAGATTTGGATTAGTTTTCTTAGCAAAGCTATTGTCATATACAGTAAAATGCCTTTATTTCAACCCAGAACAGAATAGCCTTGTCATTGTTACCTTCGTTTGAAGACTTTTCAACCCAAGCTTTCAAGGTGGGTTCAAGCTTTTAAGAAAGAAAGTGAATGACATGTTAGTTATTAGGTGTTTTATGCCTTGGTAAATTATTACAGCAGTCAAATACCATCTAGACCCCACTCACCACTATGAGTTTCAGTAAAGAAGCTTTGCACCATCACGTGATGACAGACATGACAAGAGGTCTCATTCCCCTGGGAAACAGAACTTTTTCTCATGTAAATCAGATTAGACCAGATTCAATTGTTCCTGCCTCCTGTCATGGCTGCCATCACGTGATGGTGCAAAGCATCTATAGCTCCTCAGTGGATAGAGCGTCTGACAAGAAAAACAAAACATCACGGGTCTGAATCCCGAACTTTTTTTTTCGAGAAAAATTAGCTTGATGAAAGCATAATTTACATGTCCAATTATATTTTGTTTAAAGCCAAGAGAAAAATGCTTGAAGTTTAGCACATCTCTGGTCTTTTCGTTTATATATTTTTTCCTTTTCCTCATTCTTTTTAGGTTGTCGTAAAGTAGAACATGAACTTACCTCAGCTAGATCTAAAAACAAGTGTTTGCTGGAATTCGCTTCAGGTTTTCCACCACAAACTTTGCATTTAGGATTCTGTAAAATAATGGAATTATTTATTTTTTTCCTTTTTTTATTTATTTATAGGCTTTCATCATGCTTGACTTACAAAGGAGAACAAAAAATACAACAACAACAACAAAACAATAAATATAAAAGCTAACGTTTGAGCGTGATGAGGGGCAGGCAAACGGACTCAAGGTCCTGGTGAGGTAGGCCCCACACACTCACACACTTACAATAACATAATTACTAGACGACAATGATACATTAAATTGCTCATAGCTAACGGCAGTAAATTGGAATGGTGAGTGAATAACGGTAAAGAGTGATTAAACCTGAAAGCACGATACTTTTTTTTTGAATCACAAGTATGAGTACTATTTGTAGACTCTGTAGGTGCCTTGTTTTCACACAACTACCTTAGTTGCCTCACTGACACCAGTTAAAGAAGAGCTGCAAATCTGTTGCTTATGCAGGTGTGTGTCTGTTCCAAATAGACCACTTTAGCTTGGACATAAAAAGCTCCCACTTCAGACCAAATGTTATTCTCTTCAGAATGAGATTCTTTCTTTCAGACATTCATGCATGTGTCTTCTCATGCACAACCGTTATACAAAGAAACTATACTTTTGGGAATGACATGTGGTCTGGAATCCTTACTAGTTTAAGCAACATCTTACTGACCTTTAATTCAATTGCATTGATCAGTTTCCCACAGGAGTCACATTGATCACCACGTGCATCCTACACCATAAACAGTAGAGGTAAGACAATAATAAAGACAAACAGTAGGTTTATGAACTGAACTAGAGCAGAGTTTAAGTGTACCAGAACTGTCAACTTCTAAATACCAATTCGATCATGGAACCAGGGCCACAGCTGGACTACTTCAACGATGCAGTTACCATCTTGAATTGCATGGCATTATGGGTTGCTAAAGATGCTAAAATGATGACCCAACAATATTTGAGAAATTTCCTCAGTTGTGGGATTGTCGATTTTTTAAGATTGTATCTTGTCAAGATTGTCTTTTGTGAACCCTAAATGTCAAAAGAGGACATTATTGTAACTTGCACCCCTGGACAACCCACAATGCCTTGTGATCTAAGATGGCCACCTCTTCGTCAAAGTAGTTCACCGTAAAACAAGGAGGTTTTAAAAAATCCATAATGAACATACAAATCCTGAACCATATCATACAGTAGTAGATATGACAAAAATAATTAATAATTATCATAACATGGTAATTTTAAAAAAACATCAAAAGCAAAACTGAATGAAGAAATGGTTTTACCGGGTAATTGCAAAATGGACAAGTGCCTTCTACGAAGCGATCAGCTAGAAACCTGAAATTATTTAAAACACACACATAGGTATTAGTTGGTTACTGCTATTCGGTTTGATGAGACTTATTTGACAAGGATGTGAAGTATGCACATTGGACATAACTGGGATGGACAGTGAACATAAGAACTGTCAAGACCTTTGGTGTCTCTGCTGTTTGAGTTACAGTGCACGAGATTCTGTTCATCCAATCAAAAAAAAAACTGCATTTAAATTTTATCGATACCCTTAAACAACCTCTGAGAACATACCTTTTACAGTCCAAGCACTGTAGCTGTTTAATAGAATCTTCTACGATATTACCTCTCTCGTGAAGTCTCCAGAAAATGTCCTGTGAAATTCTGCAGCAGAGAATACATTGTCAGTATTTTAAAATGCTTCTCAATAGCACATGTGGAATCAAACCAATTTGCAAAAAAATAGGGTTTTGGTGGACACCAATCAAAGCATTTTTAAAATACTAGATGCATATTTTATTGATACCCCAAAACAACCTATGGGCTGGTTAAAGTCAGGGTACGGCTAACTCACAGATCGAACCCTGAAACAACCACTGGGCTAATGAAGTTAGGGCACAGCTAACTCACAGATTTGGAATTAAGCATATCAATTGGGTATTGCGGAGGGAGGAAAACCAGAGAACTCAGAGAAAAAATATTCTACTAACATTTGAAGCTGAGGCCAGAAAGAGGTGAGAGCTACACAAACCTTGATTCCCAAGGATATTGAAAACCGCAATAACGTATTTTATATTTCTGCTGAGCTTACTTGGTTTGTTGTTCAGTGCAAGTGCGACCAAAGAAATCGAAGTCAATATTAAACCATGAATAGACATCAGAATGGATCTTGAAGTACTTGTCACATATCTCTTGAGGTGTTATCCCTTCCTCCAGGGCCTGATGGAAATTAAGTTTACGGAGCATATATAAGTCATAGCCAAAAACAAGAAATAAAGAAATAGTACAGTTGCTGCATGTTTTATTGAGAATAGCCTCATTCCTATAGAAAACTGGCATGTGACGTGAAAGAAGCTCAACTTGGAAAACAAAACAAGAGAAATTTCTTTCTACTGACAAAATGATAAACAGTTGCTTTGCCCTCCAAATTGAGCTCCGTTCTGACGTGCTGCAAGAGGTCTATTTTTGGGAATTTTCTTTTTTCGTCAAAACTTATACTTTACCTTTGTCTCTGTGGCTGTTCCATACTCATCTGTGCCACAAATGTAAAGGGTATTGTAACCACGAAGCCTGCAATATCTGAAAAACAAAATCATTCCATCTTTTTACATTGCCACATTCTCTTCAATAGGTTTTCTGCTACAATTCTGGTTGGGGAGGGGGAGGGGGAGGGGGAGGGGAATCACTGGATGACAAGAGCTTGCTAGCCAACCCATTATCTTAAATCCTTATAATATATTTAATTTTATATTTAATGTCATTTTTCCTATAGTCAACATTATGAACTCACTGAAACTCTGCATTCTTACTAATATCAACTGAAGGAGCTTTTTTTTCAATTCCAGTGTTCATTTTCATACAGCCCTTGATTTAAAGGGTGTAGGGACATTGCTAATGCAAGTCGACCATTCTGAGTCTGTCACTATACCTGGCAAAGACATCAGCACTGAGGACACAACCAATGATATTCCCAAGATGAGGTACATTGTTGACGTATGGTAAAGCACTGGTAATGAGATAGTTCTTCTCTCCTTCAATGGGCAATCTGATATGAAATATTTATTATTATTTATTATTATATCTATTGTCTGTTATGGAAATCTACTATTTATTTATTTTATTTATTTACATTCATGTTTTAACAGGGAGCTTCTTCACTTATGAATGTGATTTTCAAGGTTCTGATAAATAAGATATTTATTTTTACAATAATATTGAATGATTGATTTGACCTCAGAATTGAAGGCCAATCTCACTCACACTGGATTGCTGAGTTTCCTAGCTTTAGGCATTTTAGAATCACTTTGAGTCCAAGCATCAAAAGCATTATTGATCTCATCAGCAGATGCTTGTATTTTCGCAATGGTGATCCCTCCATTCTGCAAGTAAATAGAAGTTTTGAAGTAAGATTAAATGACTTGCATTTATCTACTGACAGGAAGAACACTAAATTTAGTAGGATACTAAATTATACATAAAGAAGAGATGACAAACTATAATTTGTGGCTTTTGAATTCTTTTTTATTATGCTCTATTATTACTTTTAGATGGTTTGCTACAGTTTTCAGTTTCTAGCTTCCACAGAAAATGTTGCAGACACTGTAAAAGTTTTTTGAAGGACAGAAGATCCTTCTCCAAGCCTTAGTCTCTCTCTCCCTTCAATTGTTCTACAGTTAGCAATGCCACTTGAAGACTAGGATATGAATATTAAATTAATTATGTATTTTATTATTAGCCAACAGGTGTTAATCAACATTTGGCTGACTGTCTTTTGATGCGTCTTGGCTGGGCATGAAGTATATTTTTACCAGATACTGCTATTTTCATAAACATGCGAACTCTGTTGCTGCTAGCTGCATGCTGGAATTTGGTTTTTTGCTGCCACCAGTCAAAAATATGAAAGGTCAGTTTTAGGTTAGATTGATTAGTTTTGATTGATGGCAATGAAAAACCAAATTCCAGTGTGCAGCTGGCAGACAGCCAGGAGGCAGCATGGTCGAGTGGTCATAGCGTCGGTCTTGCAATTAGGTGGTGCTGGGTTCGAGTCCCGCTGTGGCCACTAGCTGAGACTGTATTTGTTCTGATTCCTGATTAGTTCAGATTCAGTTTCTTGACCATGCTTGTAAATAGCCAACTGGTTTGCCTCCTTGCCAGTTGGGATTCTTAACACGCTTCATGTTCATTTAATCTTTCATTTCAGTTTGTTAATCTTAGGAGGGCCATAATGGAAACTACTGGGTCACCAGTAATGTATGTCACCCTCATTAAATTAAGTCATTTTATTTTATTTTTTTTTATAGCAAGGATAAGATACAATAGCAGCAAGTTAAAAAAGATTTTACATACCTCCTCAGTTGGTTCATTCTTTGAAGCTGAAAGGCAGATTTCGGTACAGTGTTGATGTAAAACAACATGATGACCAGTAGAATACTGGCGGCTATTGGTTGTTCCGAGGTTGAGGAAAAACTGGGTTGAGTTGGCATTGTGATGCATTGTGGGGCTGTTTTAGGGGACATTTCACAGATGGGGTCTATTTTGTCCGTAAGATAGTTCTACAATGCACTGTAATACCATGAATTCGACCCGGCTTTTTCCTTGACCTCGAAATGGCTAATTAGCCAGGTTTCAATTTAGGGTATCAATAACGTGGCAGTAGAGTGTCAGTATGCTGTTGGCCCATACCCTATGACACCAATTTTGGGATTGTGTTCAGTGCTATTACTGATCAAGGCAAGAGGTCAGTTACACATAGTGTATCGCTTCAAGGATGTGTCCATCATACCGTCCCATAACCCACAAGGAGTTACAAGGCTGGTATTAAAACTCGGTCTTTTATGTCATCATTCCAATTGCCATGGAAACTAAATCACTAAATCACTTTTACTTGCACATGTAGTGTGCTGTATTATGCATCAATTAAGAGTGTATTAGTGTTGATGAACACATTTATTTCCGTGATGTATATGTCAATAATCATTCATAGTGATCTATGTATCTATTAATTATTAGCCCATCATTGACCATCATTGCTGAAAAAGGTTATAGTTACTGTAGTATCACAACTGAAACATTCAGGAGCTAAAGTTGCTGTACTGCATGCATAATTCCCAGTCATTGATGACAACTCTTTACTATAATATATTACTTTTTCATTAGACAAGTGTATTAGCTGTTCTCACTGACCTTTTTCCTTGGATTCTTTACTAGTCTGAGCCAGATAATAATCCTGAAAAAACAGCGCCAGACCTTAGTGTAAGTATAGTGATAAAAGGGTAAATCTTAAACTGTGAAAAGATGAAAAAACAAGACTTGTCTTTTGTCTTGTTCTCAGTATATAAACACTCCTTTCTATCACCTCTTTCTCTTTTACTCTAATGAAGGACTAGCGTCCGAAACGTCAGTTTTTTCATCTTTTCACGGCATAAAATTTACCCATTTATCATTATTGTTTCATTAGAAACACCGACGCAGCTCACACTAGTTTTTAGCTAGTTATCTCTTCTTAGTGTAAGTATAGTAAAGAGATATTCATGGTATAGAGCAGAATTATTGACAAGACCAACCAGCTGTAATCAAGCCTTACTGTACTGTCAATGCACTGCTTACTTTAAATGCTGCAGGTCCTCTTTCTCCCATTGCTTCTTGTGCACCATTTTTAAAAGCCTCTTGAGAGATGATATTTGAGTGCCATTTTCTTAGACTTTCAAACTCAGAACCTATGATTTATAATGAAATTGGGAATTTTCAATATTTTATACTGTAAACGATGGAAATATTAGAACATTTTCCATTTTGAAAAAGAATTTATAAAATAATTGAGATAATACGTGCGCTAGGCATGTTTGATGAGTGTATCAAAACATGCTATTGTCATTTTAGCGCGCGTGAGTATTGCAACTGTCAGATTTTAATCTATCGCGCGCGCTCATTGGTCAGTTTGAATAAGACGGCACGTAGGGAGAATTCACTTATACTTTGCTTTTTTTTGATCTTTTGTTTGTTATTTTATGAAACAAATCAAAAACAGTTTTCCGTGTTTGATACTCTGATCAAAACACTTGGTATGTTGGGAGAACACTCAAGAAGCTGGAAACCACTCCGCTACGCATCGTGGTTTCCTACGCTCCTCTGGTGTTCTCTCAAAATCTCCCGTGTTTTGATCAGAGTATCAAACACGGAAAACTGTTTTTGATCTGGTAAATTAAAAATACCTATCAATTCTGGTTGCTGTGATGTAAGAGGAAAGAGGGAGCCCCACACCACAACATCGGCAAGCCCAATAGTTTCCTAAAGCAAATTTATATTACAAATGAGATAAAACAAATGAATAAAATGAAGGAATAAATAATGGGATTAAGCAGATGCATCTCTATAGAAATTAGATAAGAATGAATGGAAAGGAATGAACGAATGAAAAAATAAACAAACAAACAAACGAATGAGCGAATGATGGTATTTAGCAGAGGCATCTCTATGGTCTGAATAACTGGGGATTTAGAATTTGGTTTTTGCAGAGAGAGGAAACCCAAAAAAACACTCAAATTACAGGAATGAATGAACAAGCAACTTCTACTCACATCCACATGGAAGCTTGCAAATATCTTTCGGTACGGCCCTCCCATTCAGTCAATAAGTACATATTATTAAGACTTGAGACTTGAGTTTATTATCTTACCCCTGATAGGTTTTTCTGCTTCTTTAGACTTTCATCTATCTTCTTAAGGAGTTCAGGCAAGGACTGTTTCTGATCGCTACTTGTTGCTGATTTATGAGCAATGGACAAAATTTGTGACTCTACTGCAGGCTGAAATGATAAATAGTCACTTAAAGATCAACATAGATTTACGACTGTGTTTGGTCACTGTGCCTGACCATAAAAACTTTCTTTTTGCAAGTTCTAAAGAGTTTTCACTTCCTGTTTGTAAAGTCCGTTCAGCCACATACAAGTCCACTTCCTACAATATAGATACTGGCTTTCTCTCTTGTGTTCTAGCTGTCAACTCCTGTTCGCTCTACTACTGCAGATAGCTTGTGAGCAAATTTCTATTTCTTAAATAAATTTACCTGTAAATACAAGCTTTCCCATTCTATCCACTGATCGACAGCTGCCTGTTTTTCAACATCCTGTGCTGCAGCTTGAGTTTGGCTTGATTTGAAAACATATCTAGGTTCACACAATAATTATTAAAGATTTAGAATTGCAGATACATGTATATTGGTGCATTATTTTTTTAGTTTGGAATCTTACTTCAACAAGGTTTATTATTATTATTAGCTCTAGTTACAAGGGAATCATGAGATGGGTGGGTTTTTATAGAACATAGCTAGAATTATATGAGGTGTACGAGACTGTTTGACACAAATTGAGAAGCTCTAATAACACCACAAGTGGAAAATTTATTTACCTGCATATAGCATTGGGACTGAAGAGGTAGTTTCCATCCTCCACTTCAAGAGCAGGAAGCTAAAAGATATACACAATAATAATCATAATTTTTATTTTCATTTATGACTGCATGGGAGAAGAAAATATCATCAACTATCAAAATCAGTCCCATGCACACTTTCCTTTTACGCAATTAATAAGCACCAAGGGTTTTCAATAAAATTTTTGGCAGGCAGTTGAATTAAAATAGGTGGTAAACCGGAAATCACTGGAGCATGTAATCGAGGCATACTTGTCACCAGTCTCACTCTTCACGTCATAGTTTCGATTGCGTTGCAGTTTTCGTAGTACAGCAACAAAGATTGGGTTAAAATTTATTTTAACAAACTTTAAAGAACTTTCATCAAAATTTACAATTACATTGAGAAGTGGCTAAGTACAGTAGGCAGCTGAATTAGCAAGAGTAGACGGCAGAATCTGCCGGTTGCTGGCTTCTATTGAAAACCCTGAGCACCAATTGTCTTATTATTCTAGACAATAGAACATAGACAATTCAAATTTGAATAAGAAAAGAAATCTGCAAAGCATTTTGGTACTTGCAGTAAAATGATGCCATTGTGCAAACATCCTAGCATATATACCATAAATTATAACATATTATACAATTCCTCCAACTCACCTTGCTGGTAGATCCTGAAAATTTGAATCCTGGTTGATCTGGTTTGAGAAATCAAAATATTCTATGTATCAATATTATGTGTTTATGATAATTAATATATACAAGAAACAATTCTGTGCAAAAACACAAACTATTCTTGGAGTGCAATCAAATGACTAAAAACCCCTTGAGTTATAAATATTACAGAGAAGGTAATGAGGAATGCTTTCTTATCATCAACCAACTTTGCAGCTGGGACATAACACCCCAAGAATAGCCTTGCTGGTTAAACAGGATTTGATAGGCCACCACTTTGAGCTATGAATATACACCAAAAAGTATAGTATTTAGATCTTTATAAGTCAGGCTCTCCCCTCATATAAAACTCTAGCTGTTGTTACACTGTTGTAACTAAGAAAGAGGAAGATATGCTAGACGAATATTATTATATTTTATATGTTATACTATTAATATACATGAATTATCATCATCATTATACTAATACTGTACTCCCAAAACCATCCCTCCCATCCCTAATACACAAATATATATAATATATATATATATATTGATTGTAGATAGATCAAATACAAGACATTACAAGCTGTTACTCCGAGTTTCACGCATACATGATCATCAGTATTCAGACAGACTTTAATCACATTAAAGTCTGTCTGATGATCGCATAAGCGTGAAACTCGGAGTAACAGCTAAAGTGAAGTCTTGTATTTGATCTATCTACAAACTATCAAGCTCTGCAACTTATTGCATCGAGCACTCTAATGACAGTATTGAGTCAAGCATCCAGATTTATATATAAATATATATATAAATATTCAATTTATCATTAAATATTTTTATTAATTTTATTATATATTAATATACTGATTATATATTAATTATATATATATATAATTGTGGCATTTATGGGATATATATACTTATATATATGTCCCCATTTTTCTTTTGTCTTGCCTGGATTAGTATTTACGGTTGATCGTTACACTACAACAATGACTGATTAAATATTATGTTTATATACGTCCGTGCACCCCGGAAGAAGGAAATAATTATTTTATCATGGAATATGGGGTTGCCTTTGTTCAAGATCAGTAAATAGAACAGTTGCATGACCTTTTTTTGTTCTACTCTCATGGAGCAATTAAATTTGGCTCTTGAAACCTCAATGATTTGGGGTTTTGACGCACTGTCAGCTATTCATCTGAAGCTGATTAGAATCGCATTTTAGTTTCGTTAACTCTCTTTATATTCGTTATGAGTTGATCGATCTGTTGTTACATCTGAAGTTTTTACTTCAATCAATTATTGTCTACAGCAAAGATTTAAGATGGCGCATTGCTTTATATTAATTTAGTATCAATTTTCATCAAATGTCATCAATTGTTATCAATCATCGATTATAACGGCCTATACTCATCTCAAAAGTCACAACGTGAATCCACTGCAAGGCCAAAACATCCAGTGTAAGAAAAATAATAGAAGCTATGGAAATCCAAAAATCGCCTAACGTCATGAACAGCTGCATCGGTAGAGTCATCTCTATTTGATTGGTTGGATTATTGTCACGCCCTTACCTTAGTACTTCAAGCGGGTACAATGAACCTTTTCTCATCATGACTCGATTTACATATCAAGTCATAACAATGCCAATCGTTAATTGACACCCATCCCTAACCTGCAAAGCGTCTAACTACAAATCTAAATGTTTATGCCTGAAGAAGTTTCACTTTTCTTTACATTAATACCCCAGGCATGTCCACTCACTTTCCGTCATAGATAGATAGATATCTATATATACATATAATATCGATATATATATATTATCGATAGTTCTGTAAAATATTAACTTGAACGACCTTCTAAAATATTAACTAGAACGATCTTTCATAAACAAAAATGATCAAAGCTAGATTTTTCATTCGCGTCTTGTGTGTTGACAATTTTTTGGCTTAATTGTCAGATCCCACCATTGCTCAACATCGATCTCAAAAAATATTCCAAATTTACTTTATGCATGAAAAAAATAATTTAAAGCTTTAGTTTAAGATAAATACCATTGAAAGAAAATATGTTCGTACCTCCTTGATTCAAGTAAAGCACGTCCAACGTGACTCCAGACAAATTCTTAGCAGCGAAAATCCGAAGCAAATTTGGATTTCCTTTATCAGTATATAGCTTCATGTCACTACTGATGTTATAGCTGTATCCTCGATAACTTGAAAATCTAAAGAAAACCTTGTTTAAGCGCCGTAAATTACCAAATAAAATACCTGTTGACCTCCCAAACATCTGATGCAATCTAGTCCGAAAGAGAAAGAGGAAGTGAAATATATCGTGAAAGCTGCTGGGTAATATAATCCGCTGACATTGCAGGCTCACATGCAGCTGATTGCCAATGATCTAACTCAAAAAGTGACTTTCATTTTTATTTTCATCTTTAAATCAAATATATAGTCACATTCTCACCAAAAATATTGTTTATGAGAACGAATATCTTTAGTAAAAAGAGAAAGAAAGAGGAAGTGAAATAGATCGTGAAGGCTGCTGGGTAATATAATCCGCTGACATTGCGGGCTCAATGCAGCTTCAAAAAGTAACTTCATGTTTAAACCAAATATTCTGACCACAAATATCGTTTATGAGAACGAATATATTTAGTAAATAATGTCAAACTCAGAGAAACTAGCTTTTGCAATTCTGGATTATCTATTAGACTTCTAGCTATTCCCAAACATCTGATGCAATCTAGTCGCAAAAAGAAAGAGGAAGTGAAATAGATCGTGAAAGCTAATGGTTAATATAATCCGCTGACATTGCGTGCTCACATGCAGCTGATTGCCAAGAATCTAACTCAAAATGTGACTTTTTTTTTTATTTTCATTTTTAAACCAAGTATATAGTCACATTCTCACCAAACTGAATATCGTTTATGACAACGAATATCCTTGGTAAATATTGTCAAACTCAGAGAAACTAGCTTTTGCAATTCTCGGGATCATCTATCAGGGACTTGAACAGTGGAACTTTGACTGGACACACGGCAGACTTTAATACAAGGTACGTAAAATAAAGAGTTGCTCACAGAAAACTTTATTAAAAGCTTTTTACTCGGGCTACCTGTGGTAAGCCGAGTCCGGGTTTCGGTTTTCTATCTATCTATCAGTCTATCTATCGACGCTGTCGAAAGTGTGTAAGCCTGCGCTGCTCGGCGGTCTGCGGTCTGCTCTGCAGTCTGATGAGAGAGACTACACAGGTAGCCCAAGCTTGGTTTCTGTGGTGTCACGTTATAAGAAAATGTTTGGGGATTCATCAAAAATTTCAATAAAATCATTGAAACGTGAAATAAAGTCTCGACATTTTACCCGATCATTGAGAAATGGTAATTCTTTCGCTCTGTGTGGTTATTTTTTGAATTTAGCCCGTTTTAAGGATTTTTTCTTACTGGTGGGGAAAAAAAATCCTTAAAACGGGCTAAATTCAAAAAATAACCACACAGAGCGAAAGAAGTGCTATTTCTCAATGATCGGGAAAAATTTCGAGGCTTTATTTCACGTTTCAATGATTTTATTGAAGTTTTTGATGAATCCCCATACATATTCTTATAACATGACACCACAGAAACCAAGCTTGGGCTACCTGTGGAGACAACGAGAGAAAATATCCCAAACAACATGAACGCTATATTGCAATCTCTATAGATAAAAATGCGTTTTCAGAATCAAGAAGTCTTGGACTTACATCAATTACAGTGAGGATAAGTTTTTTGTTCATTATTTTGTTTGCAATTTTGATTAGTTTCTTCAACAGTTTATCGTTCGTTCAGCTATCATTATTAAACGAGTGTGTTGATCTTTGCCTTGTGCATGGTTTTGGTTGTACAACATATCATAAATGTGTCAACAAAGACTTTGGTAAATTCTCTGCATTATTACTGCGATATATTCGAAAAAGCTGTACAATTATCTGTATTTGTTCATCCCAATAGAGTCAAATTCATCAAAGGAATGCAGGTCTTCCTTACTCATGCCTGAGCACAAGCCTCGTGTTGTTTCGCGTGATCCAGAACCAAGTAGAGTTCCAGTCAAACAGCTTGCAGGTCTTTTGCACAAAAGCAGTTCAATTTGTTAACATAGAGCGATTCCCGGTACAGGCAATCGATGGAAATCGATCATCGAAAACCCAATCGACGACTCGATAGCAATCGATATAATTAGTTGATTGATATAAATTTGATATCGGATAATCGATGAATATCGATCATCGATTGATCATCGATCAATGTAATATTTTGTTATTAGATTCGGATAGAAGGACACAGATGTTCGTGGCATCGATTGGTCTATATATAATAGTCTACAACCATCTCAAAAGTCACAACGTGAGTCCACTGCAAAGCCAAAACATCCAGTGGAAGATCCTACATGCCAAAAGCCAGAGAGTAAGAAAAATAATAGAAGCTATGAATAGCCGAAAACCGCCCAACATCATGAACAGCTGTATCGGCAGAGTCATCTCCATTTGATTGGTTGGATTATTGGCACGCTTATACCTTAGTACTTCAAGAGAGAACAATCAAACCTTTTCTCATCATAACTTCCATTTCCATATCGAGTCATAACAATGCCAATTGTTAATAGACGCCCATCCCTAACCGGCGAAACTTCTAACTACAAATTAAAACGTTTATGCATGAAGAAGTTTCACTTTTCTTTACATCATTAATACTCCAGGCACATGTCCGCTCATTTCCGTCATATATAATATATATATATATATATATATATATATATATATATACATA